GAGATGTTATCAAGACCACTGGCTTTATTACTCGGTATTTTCAGAATTAAATTGAAGACCTCCTGGCATGATACTTTTGCCAAATTAAAAATGTGTTCTGCGGGGGTAATATAATCAGTAAAATTACTGGATGTATCTTTAATTTCAGAGGCTAAGGAAGGTCCTATTTTGGAGAAATGTGTGTTGAGTATATTACTGATTTCGATGGGATCAGTATTTACAGTATCCCCAGTGTCCAGCTGAGTTATCTTATTAAATTTAGGTTCATTTCCAATTAGTCTATTAATTCCTTTCCAAGTACATTCTTTATGTTTCTGCGGTTATCTTTGAAGAAGACATTGTAATAGTTCTTTTAGCATTCTTAGTTTCATAATTAACCTTATTCTTCATGTGTTTGTAAGAAGTCCAATTGCCATCTGTTGGGAACCTTGAGGCTAATTTTTTGAGCTTGTCTCTCTGAAACATTAGCCTTTTTAGCTCTGGAGTAATCCAGGGGGAAGAGATTCTTTTTCACTCTCTTCTTCTTTAGTGGTGCATGGCTATCAGCAATGTCTAAGAACATATGTTACGGTATATCCCAAGCAATGTCAGGATTATGCTCCTGTTCAATCAGATGCCACGGGACCATAGATAAATCAGTTCGAAAACTATCTGGAATAAAATTTTTAAAGCATCTGCTTGTTACAGTCTTTGGATTTGATTTGGGGATACAAATCTTTCTTATTGCATACACCAGGCAGTGATCACTGATTCCGATATTGGTGACTCCGGAGTCCGAAAAATTCCACGGATGATTAGTTAAAAACAAATCAATAATAGATGATGTGAGCTGTGTTATACGTGTTGGCTGATCAATTAATTGCCTATACTGGTAACTATCACAGATATCTAGTAGTTTTTGAGTGGTGCAATCTGGTGATGTTGCACCAACATTACAATTTAGGTCACTGATAATGTCAACCTCCATATGATATGAGTCCAATTTTTGCAATACATCTTCAAATCTGTTCATCAGTTCAGTGGTGGACCCTGGAGGTCTATACCAAGTGCACACAATAAATGGTTTTGCTTTCGGTTTCGACACTTGGATACTGATCAGTTCTATGTTATCATCCGGGAGGTCAATGAGACGCTTATAATTTATTGAGTCCCTAATATAGAAGGCCACACCACCCCCATTTCTATTTCTATCTTTCCTTTCAAGGGTATATCCAGGGATACTGACCTCACCATTTTGAATAGAGCTGTCAAGACGAGTCTCATTAATAGCTAGTATATCAACTGTCTTGGACAGCATATAGATCCTAAGCTGGTCAATATTTTTATACAAGCTGGCCAAATTAATAGAAGCAATTTTAAATCCTCTAGTTATACTAAGGCTTTTCCAAAGCTATAATGGAGATGTAGAACAAATATTATTTTAATATCTGGAAGTTGCAATTGCCGGTAGTGCAAACCGGAAACTGTTTGGTCTGAGAAAATGTAACAGAAAAACCGAATTTCGTTCAGAAATTTTGTCCGCTATTTCATCCAATCCCGGCATCTAATGCCAGATATTTTCTTGCCTGTGACTCAGAACCCTGGGTCCAACCAGATGCCATACTGGTGTCTGGGCCTGGTGCGAGCCCGGTTCTAACGAGCACAGAAAAAAGTAGACATTATTGCTTGTCATTACTGCGTTTTGATTACATTTATCAGAGATTTGAATGCATTGGTAGACATTGTTATAGTTAAGGAAAATAATTTTTTAGACTTGGTGAAACTAGAGATTATTACTGTTTTCGCTTTTTGAGTTTGAGTATACTATTCGAATTAAAGCCGCATCTGCGGCGTCTAATCGAATAAATACGGTACATATGTAAATATAAATATATTTTTCTGAACCGTTTAGAATGATTTTTCTAGAGTGCTCAACTTTTCAGGGGCAATAAATAATATGACTGAAAATTTATGCAGTTCCAGGCTTCAGAGGTTATACATCGCTTTATCGTTAGAGCTGTGCTTCGTATGGCCTAAAGGCCACCACACTCAGCAATCACAATAACACTCAATAACAAATTGAAATCTTCATCTACTTTTAAAGTGCTCAATAGTTAAACTAGAGCATTAAGTAAATGAAAATGCAGAGCTGGATTATCTGGTCCGAGCCATTTGCTTGACAGTTTTATGTCTTGGACCAAATAATACAACTTTGCATTTATTATATAGACGCGAGTGTTTTACTGGAAAATATACCACTCGTAAAATTCATGAAAACTACATCCGGGACCCGAGTGGGTCATTTTCCATAATCTCACACGTGAGTTTATCCATAACGTAATTTCCGTAATTTTCCTTCGAAACTTGTAGACGTCTTGCGTCTTTTGAATTTTACTTACACATTTTTCAAAGTTTTGCTTATATTTTGTCATTGTAGAGCCCTATTCCGTTCAGCGTTATTTCTCAAGATTATTGTAAACAACGTCTTGTACGGGTATTGCTGTAATGTAAATTTGAGTCATCACAATTATACTAATCTATTATTTTATCAATGTCTTTTTTTCTATATAATAAAAAGAACATTACACGGCGGCTTGAAGATATGAATTTTATTTTCGAGTGGCAAAACAATATTTTACTCACTCGCTGCGCTCGTTCGTAAAATATTGTTTTTGCCACGAGAAAATAAAATTCATATCTTCGCGCCACCGTGTAATATCCTCTCTCTATATAATAAATATAAATACTAAACATAACAATTCGGTTTTTACGAATTTCACAGTTTCCTGCATAAAACGATTTAAAGGTGGTGCTCCATGACATATATCGCACGCAAAACTAGCGAGTTTACATAAGTATAAATATTCGAGTAAGATAAAAGAATCTCGGCTAATATAAAGCAGTAACTGGTATGTCGCAGGCCCGGCTGGCAATAGCAGGCAAGAAAACAGCCTAAAATGAGAAAGGACAAGAGGGGCGTATTGCGTGGGAAATGTTTGAAATGTGAAGAGTGTTATGAGTACGAAACCACTGTTACTGCCAGTATTTTGTGTTAGTACTGTGGCCACAGACCAGTCGAACACGAGCCAATTACAAGCGAAGAGGAAACACTGCCAGCAAAAAACCCGAGGTTGAAGCCAATACAAGAAGAGTTAGAAACTGATTTGTCTTGTGGTGGAGAAGGGCAAGTAGAAAGCATCGTTAACAAACTAGGCTCTGTTTCAACTTCTGCGTCGCTTAATTTCGGGGATGTTTTTCGGGCAGAAAACACCAGTACAAGGCCGTTAAAGCCGTCCGCTACCAAAAATCACATTCCTTCATCACCTCACCATGAAATTATTGAAGAAAGCGTAGAGGTAATCGAAGTAGTAGACGTTGATACCGAACAGGAAAGTCAGCAGTTAAAAGCAAATGAACTTGCAAAGAAGGAACCAGGCGTGGTTTTTAATATTAAAAGAAGACAAGGAAAGCTTTTTGCTGAATGCAATGTTTGCTCATCTAAAGTCGCCGTAGGACAAGCGAACCAGGATCTGAGTTTGTTAAAGTTGCACATTATAACCTCAAGGCACAAGTTAAATGTAATCATTAGCCGGTCCAGAAGCTCAGAAATACCGACAGAAATTCAAGGTCTTCGGAATCAGATTGAAGACAAATTTCCCAAAGTTTTTCACTCTCAAGGGAGGAGGTTTTGTGCCGTTCCTGCAATACATCTACATCGATCTCTTCTCTTCAATTTGAAACAGCATGTTCATTTGAAGGACGTAGCCGTCAGCAGAAGGCCTCCGGCGCTGGCTTAGTGGCTGACATTGCCTCATTTTTCCATAAATCAGCTCGCACACAAGATAACAGCAAATGATCTAACACAAAGGGTACTGGTAAGCAACTTTGTCATGGATTCTTTCTTGAACGTTTCGAGTATAATGTCGGCGATAAAAAACGTAACTGTTAATCCCACAGTGCTTATTAATGATACAAAGCCAGGTGAAAAAGATAGTAACATTTCCTGGTATCCAGAGCCGCATTACAGATTTGTTAGAATTTGTAAGGAAAGCTCCAAAGAAATGACGGGGACTTTTCGAAGTTCTGAATGTTTACGCTGTGCAGATGTGGGGACGTTTAAAAATGATATGTGCTCTGCTTGTGAGGGTGTGCCCAATCTTCCATCTTTCAAGAAACGCCAATTATTGCGAAGCGAAAGAATTGGTTCTGATGGTAAGAGAAACAACTCCACAATTAGAAACGACTTCTTTCCACATTTAAGATGCAACAGAAATTAAAAGAACAGAAGGAAAAGCTGGGCGATAAAGAATCTCAGTTGTTTTTTCTCAAGTCCAAGAATTTAACGCTGAGAATGCGAAAGCGTTTTTTCAATGAAAAATTAGCCGAGTTCGCAAGACGTGGCTCGATGAAAGCCATTTGCCACAATCTGGATAAGGCAGCGCAAAACGGTTATTTGAAGGATAGAAACACCCTGGTCGGTGTACTGCAAACTGTTGCAAGAAAATTTCATGTCGGAAAGAACGGGCGCCGTTATCAGTCTTCTTTTAAACTGTTTCTGGAGGTTCTGCTACTTTGGGGCGGACCAAGATCGAATTGCGACATTTGTAGCTATCAACCTCTGTGGGCCAGAAATTCACTCCATCTATCGCTGGCGAAACCAACATTCTAGTACATTTGGACGGTGGTTTTGAAAAGAATAACTTTAAGGTCCTTGGCAAACTGTTTTTGGAAGCTATGAGCAATCTTGGCGTCAAACACGTCCCTGTCTTGGCAGCAGAAGACGAGACCGCCATTCTGGGACAAATCAGTTACAGCGAGCGTACTGATGAACTACTGAGATCTGTGGAGTCACCGGAGTAGATAAGAAATGCCTTGACTATTTCACTGTTGTTGTTGGGAATGGTGACCAAGGGCACAACACAATCGTCAATGCATTCAACGAGTACAAGATTGGCTCATTTGCTCGCGCAATCATCCTGAATCCCCTGCACCCCAAACTTCCTCGAATTCCTGTTCTCATCATGACTACGTGTAATAGGTTCGACCATGAATTTGTGTTCAGACAACGGCAGACAGTTGAACGCCTTTACGAAAAGGAACTTCAAGACATTGTCGGCCCCTTGATTGGACACAGTTCAGACGGTGACTCGAGACGCAGGAAGCTTAATATGCTACAGCTTGGGACAAAGAACGTTGGAAGCAGGTATATATCGTGCCGTTCCTATGGAACTTGGTTTTGTTCTTTCCTGCAGGAAGGTTGAGACAGAGAACGGGTATATGATCAGAGATGCATGTGATCAGGACTATATACATAATCACAAGAAGCTTCTTAATCCACTTGACCATGCTTCACGTGTATTATATTGATGTTGGGCCAGGGGGATGACTTAGTCCACATGAATCACTTGTAGTTGAAATGTTCCCTATTCCAGATCATGGTCTTGGACTGAACGACGTCCAGAGGAGTGACAGGCAGAACTGGCGATCGGCTCAGAAACTTACATTTCCACAGGTCGGGAACTGTCTGCAGATGTTGATGGAAGGCCTTGTCGAAGGCCACCCAAGAAACCCATCGTTACTTGGTACTAAGATCTACCTCCATGTTGTATGGTTGTATGTGGAGATTTTCTGCAGCAGTGTTGCCTAATTAAGACGTCGCATCACGTACGCTGAAATTGTCACCCATTTCCTGGCGATATGGCAGAACTGCATTCATCGTAGTGAAGGGCTGTCACTAAAGCAAAACTTTATCACAAGGGAAACATACCAGGACATTGTGATTTCATGCCAGTTCGCTGTCATTCTCATCTGCTATATGAGAGACAACCTTCCCGAGCAAGAATGTTGTCTTGAGCTAAGTGGTTCGCACGTTTTGGAGGATTTTTGGAGCAAAAACGGGCAATGGGTTGGAAACCACCACAACTATTGGTTTCGTGATCTCCAAGGAAATGCCTCTCACATGATTTAATTAGAGGAAATCAGAATTAACCCTGAAGCTCCCGACTTTGCTAAGCCTCAACCAAAGCAAGAAAGTATCTGGCATTGACAGTATGAAGACGTTTATGAGAAGGCAAACTTGTATACACAGGGTACAACAAGAGTACAACAGTTTGCTTGTTAACGCATTGAACCGTATTTTTTAAAGCAATCTGTCCTTGAGTACATTGAAACCTGTATTCAGCGGACACCCTTGGGGAATGCTGTAGTGTCCGTTTAATACAGGGTGTCCGCCTAATACAGGTTTCGATAGATAACGTCATATGAGGTGTCAAATGCCATTTAAATGAACAGTGGAAAGGTTAAGAATACTCCCAGAGATTTTGACGATATACGTTTGCATTAATTTCTTTATAAAAGTGGACCAGTTGATCTTAAGGTATCAGCCACCCTTAAAATTGCCATTTTTCCATATTTGAGGTTTCAACGTTTTCAAATAGATATGCTTGAGAGCTTTCTTTTAAAACAAAAATCAGACGAAAATATTATTTCTGTCGAAAGATATCGGGGGTAAAAGATTTTTTCTCGTTAATTATCTTAATTGATCGTTGACAAGTTCTGTCATACCTGTGTCATATATCAATTAACTTGCCCGTGAACTAGTAACTGATACCGAGAGCGTGCTTCGACACAACACGTGCGAATTGTCTTCGCGTTGTTTATAGCCTTTAGTATTCTCCGTGGATATTTAGCGTTTACTTCGGTAAAAATGCGGCCAAAAAAAAGAAAAGGGTCGTGTCCGTTTTCGTCATCGAAACCGAGAGGGAAAAAGAAATCGAAGAGCGAGTTTGACAAAGAATGGGCAGCAAAATTGGCAGAGAGCGACAAAGGCTCATTTTATCAGCAAGAGAAGTGGCTCGAGGAGTTGGATATTCAGAAAAGCGAAAATGCTGCAGCTGCTGAGAGTGCAAGCCGCTCCAAAATCCAGCTTGAAGAGCCAGATGAAGAAAGCCAATTAAGCTCATCGACCCCATCTGCTGATGGAACGTGGAAAACAATAAGCGGTCGAGCTATCGTATCGAGCGAAAAGCTGCTTGAGAAACAGGAGGAGTCTGTATCTTGTCGATTGCCAGGGAAGAGTCCAAGTCATGGAAAATGTTGCGACTAAGCATGGACTTGGTTCTACCTGGAGAGTCCAGCGTGAGAATGAAAGCTGTCCGTCGCACAAGACAAATTCTGTTTTTAATTCTTCCGCCGGGCCTCAGTTCTTGGCCTTCGAGCAATCGGTGGTGGACATTCGGCGGCTTCAAAGTTTTTTAGTTTCCTTGGCCTGGCGCCGATCAACAAAAACGCCTGGGCGGATCATACAAAAAAGATCGAAGGAGTGGCAAAACTTTTGCTCGAGAAAGAATTAAACCGTGCTTTTCGTGATGTAACAGAGTGGACGTTTTCCTGTTACATGTTACCTGTCAAAGTCCTATTGTTAGAGAAAATTGATCCCTCTCTGATATCAATAAGAATAAACATTTAGGTGTTATAATCTCATTCCAGGTAGCATGCCGCCAAAAATGTATTTTCTATTTTATCTCCGAACGCAAATTTTGCCGACCGACTCGAACGTTTTGAACTCCAAGTCGGCAGCCTTTCAATCAATTTGGCTAAAATTTGGCCAGAGTGATGCCATATATCTCTTCTACAAAACCGTGTCTGCGAATTTTAATACTCCTTTTCATTTTAAAGCTAGAGCTTTTTTTCCACAGGGAGTGTTGACTAATTGCCTTCCCCAACTTCATTTGCTAATAAAAGAAAAACAAACGCACTTGTCAAAAATCTGAGACACGGTTTTTTAGTAGAACTTGTTGAGAAGCGAATGCGGTGTTAATTGTTTTCTTCCGTTTTTTTCCAGCGGGAGTGGAACATGATTTATAGAGACGTGTACGTTTACACAAAGCGTTCCAATTTCGAAACACTTTTAAGTAAATCGTTTTTGTTAGTTCAAATCCATAATCTGGAATCATTAAGCTTTTAAAAAATATATGGTTTATAGGGGTTTTTATAAAAATAACAAACGCTACAGCGATCCGCGCGCGGACGGTCCTGAAGGGTGGCTGATACCTTAATACCCTAAACACAGATTGCAACTCAAGAAATCAGATGAGTGAAACAAGCTCTATACAAACAAAACGAAATAGAAAACAATACTGTACTGTGAAACTAATCAAGTATGTTCGTCAAGTCACGTTTGTTAATGTGAAAAAAAAAAATTTGTGGGTGGCAATTCGAGGCAATCTTCGCTTTTCCGGTGTCTGGCATGTTGGGTGTGGTGGAATTTGATTACAAGTGTCCGTCTAATACAGGTTGGTAACAATAGAAATGACCATTTCAGGTACTTTTTAGGTGTCCGCGTTCGCTTAATAGAGGTGTCCGCTTAAAAAAGGTTCATTTAAAGCAAATAAGGGAAATAGATTTTGGGACTTCGGCTACTGTCCGCTTAATAGAGGGTGTCCGCTTAATACGGTGTCCGCTTAATACAGGTTTCACTGTATTAAAAAATGGGTCAATTCATTTTTTAATGACCTGTATTTAAAGGATTGATAAGGTAGATACATAAATAGAAAGTGATTAAGTTGGGATCGCAAAAATTACATATTTGCCCAAAAGTTACTAATATGGGGTCTACAATTGGCCACAAAATGGACTATAATGGGGAAGGGGCCCTGAGAGGCCAGCGGTACATACCTAGCCTGCAGTCCAGGCGTTTTCTTTGAGCGCGCAATTTGCTCGCGAAAGCGCCATGTTGAAACTTCCCGAAGAGAGGAGGAAATGGGGCGAGTCAAAGGGAGCGGGGAGGGGGCGGGGAGAGAGAAGAGAAAACGCCTGTCCGAAAATACTGTGAAAATGAGAAACACCCCCTAATTAGACGCGCGTGACCGCTCTTCCGGAAATGAGTAGCTGACAATAACAAAACATCCTAACAGTCGCTCCAGTCCAAAGACTTGCATTGTCTTAACAAAAACAAGCAGGAGTTCATCGTTTTTATCTTGACTGAGTCACAATGCAATTCTCCCCAGCTGATAAAGCTTCAGTTTAAGCTGCAATTCAGTCTTCTAAATTCATCTCTGTAAATCGCTATCCGCGAGAGTTCAACATCCTGCAAACAATTTAAAAAACTAACAAGCTGGGCCCAGCGTGATACAACGTTGCAGGAAAACATCACATTCTCGGTCTAGAAAAAAAAATCGCTTAGTTATTCAGATCCTGAGGCACTTTGGACAAAAATAAAGAACCTAACAGCCTTATTTAGCGACAAAAAGAGCTTTACGCTTCAAAAGAGGTCGAAGAAAACGCTCTTGCATCAGAGGGCAAATCATGAAGACCAGAAATTCAAAAACCACAGAAAATCAATAAGCGTGTCATGACCTCTCAGTGTGAAACAAGCGGCTAAAATCACATTTGCTCTGTCAAAACATAGAACCCTCTAGAAAGCATCTACTCGCCAGAAAAAAAAAAAAAACGTATATTATTGGAACAAGCAGCATTTTGGCATGAGGTAAAAGTGGTGTAGGTACTGTGAGCAAATCTTGTCCTGATGACCAGTGTAAAAATCGCTTTGACTTTCTCATTGCGTAATACACGCGACATCTCGGTTTTCACATGACGTCACCAAAATTCAAACTAAGAAACTATCGATTCTTCTGAGTTTCTGAGTTTCATGAGGTATTACAGCACATAAACACCTTTATTTAAACAAAGTTTTGGTTCCAAGGGTTCTTCGTTTTGCGATAGAGGACGTTTGAATTTGTAGACTTTTGCGTGATGCGGCATTTGGCTGGCGGTCGGGAAGGCTCTTATGTGGGTTAAAAACATTACCAATTTTGGGAGACTTTGCTATCTAAACATTCCTTGTCTCAGAATAAATATCACTTTAATCCTTTATGAGTTTTTCAAGCGATGATCTCACGCATTAGTAGGAAAACTCAAAGACAGATGTTTCTGTTGGTTTCCGGCGGCCATATTTGTGCCCCTCAAAGGGACACAAACATGGCGTCTCCATACAAAGCTTTATAAATTTGGGTAAAACGTTTTCCCGAATATCTCGCATATGAAAAACCGCACAGACCTGATTCTTGGTGAGGCCTTTTGCATATTTATCTTCTTTTATTTCCTAGATTCTGGACTTTCTGTACTGAATGGTTTGCAATTTTATTTTCGATTGCGTGACAGTGAAAACCGAGAATTCCAAAAGACTGACGGAAACGGAATAAACAACATGGACTTACAGTTAATTGACAGGCATCAATCTACTTCCCTTTGCCGCACCAATCAGGAGCTCCGTTTGCTAGCGTACGGAGTTTCCCAAAAGAACAATGATATCGGGCACGCATATTTTTTTTTCTCCCCTCCCCCTCCCCCCTTTCCCTCTTTCGCCCTCGCACCTACCGTAAGGGTTACTATTTCTACTCTCCCCAATCTTCCACTGTCATAAAATCAAAGATGGCGGCTACAACAATATTACGAACACGAACAAGGTTTCGCCCGCCCAAAATACGCCTGCACTGCAGGCAAGTACATGCCCAGCAAAAACCCCCAGGGGGCGGCCGCGGTTTCGTTGAAATCATAACAGTTTTCCTGGAAAGCTCCACGGGATCTCAGTCAATCTTAACAAGCGAATTTTCTTTTCGAACTAAATCAAAATGATTAGTAAAAAGAGTAGTGCCCTTATTTTTGACCCAAAATTTTTTTGTAAAAAATACATAAACAGACCAGAATCTTACTTTTCCATTGAAAAAAAACATGAAATATTCGGCGGCGTGGCCCATGTTTCTCATATTGCGCTAAAAACGTACTTTCATATGACAACATGCGGGTTTCCTTTTTTCGCACGCTCAGAAGGTCAAAGGGATGTGATTTTTCATGAAAAAAAATATTCACAAAATTCTGCTTCACTTGGTCAGAAAATAATTTGTTTAATTTTTAATAATTAACTAACAGCTCACTGATTTATTAATTTGGGCGACCAACTTGGAGGCCCGGGAACGTCAGCTATAATGTTTGGGCAACCGGAAGGGCTCCCGGAAATTTTCCCTAGCTAGAGCAGAGCCTTGCAGCCCTGTAGTTATTGGAAGTATGGTACATTACACGCTATTATTGAAAGTGGAAGTGCATTTTTTGAGGACATTAGTAAACGGAATGCAAATTAAATTTTAGTGAACTTCCCCATACTCATGTGGTAATATTGATGTCAGTTTTGTTTTGAGTAGCAAAGGAACCTTGTGTGTAACTCATCTTCTAGTGACTGTGAATTAGTCCTAAACAGAACGTCTCTCCTGCACACATTTGTTGCATACACTACTCAACTTTCCATTCCCATTCAAAATACCGGTAATTCTTTCTTACACCAACACATTCCCCGTAAACGCCTTCAGCCTTCTTGTTCAATAAGAAACAGCGGGTGTTTGTTGGAAATGATATTTCCGTGAGACGTTCTACAAATTGAATTCTCCACGCAAGTATGCTAAAATGCTGTCCGATCCGGATCCCACGGTCATCAGCCTTGTTCAGCCATGTTCACCTCACCTTTTACTTTCGGTTTGTTTCCTTTGTGTTTCAAAGCCAATCAAAACAAGCCCTTGAGTTGGAACCAACCAGAACTTGACCCAGAGCTCTCGATCCACGTAATGGATCCACGACGATGACCAAAAGGATCAAAGCTCTGGTGACGAGAATGCGCTGATGACCAGCGCATTTTCATGTATTATTCATTCATTATTCATGCTTATTCTCGCGAAGCAAGTTTATAATCTCGTCGCGCGCGAAGCGCGCTTGCATGGAATCGTTACATTTGTAAACAAAGTCCTTACTGAAGAACATTTTCGTTTTTTATTACATTTACTTCTCCAAAACCATCCCACTTAAAAATATATATCAGTTTAGCAGCCTTATACATAAACACAGCTGTTTCTTTTAAGTCAAACATAACAAAAATTTATTATTGCTAGCCTCCTATTTTAGATCCCGTTTATTCGAAACGAACATCTGTATTTCGAATCTCCTCACAATATTAGTGTGTGACATCTGTTACAATTGCCAGGAAAATTTATTTTTTTACCCGTAAGGGACAATTTATCAAGTCCGTGAATTTCAGTATAAGTCAGGGAAAATTGGACTCTTTCAAAGAAGTCAGAGGGAGGTGACATATTTCTGCATAGTCCCCGAAGTTAAACATATTCCATCAGCAGGATATTGTTTCCAGAAATTAAAAGACAACCAGATATAGGGTTTCCTATAAGATCAATCCATTCTGTACTTTACAATCAAGATAAATTCATGTAATAAATGGGTGGCGAGGATGGTTGTGATGGGAGTTTGGGCATTTATTTTGTGTACCGGACACAGATGAGGTAAAACAAAATAACAACAACCCTGAAACAATACCAAGCAGATTTTCCCTGAACAGAAAACAAAGACGTCTTTTGCTTTACGTCATATGTGTTCAGTACACGAAGTTTTGAGTGTAATTTGGAGTCCATTAATATCTGGACAAATTGTCAATTCATTTGGTCAGAGAAAGTGTACATTTGACCGTCAGTCTGGGAATTTAAAAAACTATCCCTCTGGCAACCATGTCTCAATAAGCTTATGCATGTTGAGAATTGAGAAACTGATTACCTTCAACATGACTTGTATGTGGACATTTCATACAAATTCACTCATGTATGTACACAAATAAACGTGAACACTTTCACAAATGATTTGGTACTCTTTACAGGGATATAATTCAGTGCTAATGAGGACACTGCATATTCAATAATCATCATAATCACCATTCTCCTGAACTGCATCTTTAATGACATTGCTACTTGTAATTTACATTTCAGTGTAAGTGATTATGTTTGCACCTTACTGTTAAAAACCATTAGTTATCAATTGTGATAATCATACATGCCAACTCTCCCGGATACGACAACAATCTCCTCCCGTAAGGGTCACCAAATCTCCCGGATAAAATCGAGTTATGAGCTTTTCTGTGTTTTAATTTGGAATTTATCCCATTTTCTCCCAAAATTCGAATTTCCTTTGATTCAAAGTTTGATTTCTGGGCATTTTCGCACGTATTTTATCACTGACACAGATTATTTCTCCATTACAATCATAAAAGCTAATTGTGATGGTTCTGTACCTCATGTAAGACTTCATATAATGTCCTAAGCTGATAAGGGACTGGATCGAATTGTAAATATTTTTCGTCAATTACAAGCATTTACTTGTTATTTTCACTACACAACTAATTACACACTTCACAAGTAATTATTATTACACTTATTATTAAAAGAATTATTAAAGATGGCATGGGTTAGCCACATATTCACCTCTCTTTCGTGCAGTTATTTACTATCACACCCATTTTCTTTTGACTATTTATTACACATGCAGGAGGGTCAAATGGGGTGACACCTATGAAACAATGGCTACCCTTCCTTAACAACACCAACCCCATTTAAATCCCAGAAACCCCTTTTTAACAACAGAGCACTGGGTTCAAATTTACTCCAACCAAAAGGAGATTAGGTACATCTCACATTCCAACATTAGAACCAGTGTTGAAACCTGCCCTCCCAAGCTACAGGATTTACTCTGATTCTCTCTCCCCCTTACATCCGTGACATTTTATGCCCCCCCCCCCGAGCTTCACGAGTTTCTGCGAAACACGTATTTCTAGTTCATCTTTAACCGGTCCCTTACAACAGGCATTTATAAAAACGAATGGAAGTGCGCGCGTGTAACGCCTGAATGGTGACAGACGGCAATGTGACAACTATTGTGCCATTTCTATTTTAGGTGTACTGGGCAAAGCATTAGAGGTTTTTCCTTAGCTCTAATCGCTATCTAACTGAAATCTCCATGCTATAAAAACTGAATAGATGAATGGCTAGAGAATGTGGATGTCAGTACATTGAATGGCGCAGAATTTCTTGACTCAATTAATCACAGCATCTTGACGCTTGGAAAATTTGAAAGAGCGTTGAGCAGTGATGCTTCGTCAATGGCCAGCTATCATCTAAGAAGAAAATTACAAGTGAAGTACCACAAGAGTCTATTCTGGAACCATTATTATTTTTGGCTGTAAGTTAACGATTTGTGTGATATTCAATATGCCGTCTCGCTACCCACTCTCTATCATGCAATAGAAAGTAAGTACCTTATTAACGCTTCGTGAAAAATACGCGATTTATAACTTAAGTCGTGTTAATTTCTGTGAACGTTAATTTCCGTGCCGTTAATTAAGTGGAGCGTCTGCAACCTTATTTTCCATAATTATGGGCCCCAAATTCTTGATACACTTTTGACAATCTTGACAAGTAAAAAAGAGTATTTTATCAGGTTGGAGACCCGCGAGTATCAGTGAAACCGTGGAGAACCATTGAAGTGGCTAGACTTGTTCGCTGAACCCTCTTCTTATGCTAAGGGAATGTTTCACAAACCAAGTTTCCACGACAAATTATACGCTTACCTTTGTTCCTGTTTTCTCTTGTTACCTTGGCGTTCATTTCTTTCATTTAGAAATGTTACCCTCTTTATCGCGCTAATTTCTTTTATTCGGTAGTCGTTTTCTATTAAATTCGCGTCTTAAGTCGCGTTTATTTCAATACCTTAATTTCATGGAGCGGTAATATCCTACAATAAGGTACGTTGGCCAATCAGATTGCAGAATTCGTAATCGGATCGAAGTTGGTGTCTTTATCTGGCACAGTGAGAACAGCTGTCAGTTCGAATGAGGATAAATTGTTTGATGTGGTCCACTTATCACAATTTATATGGTTTTAATTTCTCATCTGTTCTTCCTTGGAGTCAAAACATATAATCTCTGGAGAAAAAAAAGTGCACGTGCTGCAAGGAAAAGCAGCCTAGAAAATGGGAGAAATCATCGTCGGCGAGAGATAGCTTTTAGAATAAAGTTCCCAGATAAAGCTTTTGTAAACTACCATTTGCTTAGCGATCTACAAATCTTAATTTGAGCTTCTTGTCAGGCACCAACAGGGAAGTAACCACTGGAATTGCTTCATTCAGTGACTCAAGCCAGAAGTTTTGTGATACCTGAAACAGTAGTAACATGTAGGTTTACCCAATCGTGGTTCCCGGTTTCGTTTACTCGACAGATACTGTAAGGTTGCTCAAGGAGGAGGGTTACCATTCACTTGCTAGGTTAGCCCTTCTGAAGGGTGCTTTTTCATGTATGTCTTCTAGGTATAGTGGGGCCGTCCCCATACAAATTTCAATCGGGCGGGATCATAATACAAAGAAAATCTCGACAAATTGGAAAGATGATACTTTTCCCGGTATTCGCTTTGCCTGGGGAGGTGGAACTTTAGGTTGCCTTTGTATATGTATCTGGTTGGCGTTCTAAAGTTGCCAAAGCAACAAAATCGCAACAATGAACTTAACCCTTTGTTCCCGCGTTACATAACGCGTCATTTCTAGAAAGATCATTGCCGAAAATTCACATATTCATCATTTCACCTACATCTTTCCCACCGGTATCGCAGAGGTCAGGGTTCGAGTCACGGCAAGCCTGGATTTTTTTCAGGCTATCTTTTCCCAATTGCATAAGTTGTAACAAGAGCCATAATGGCTCTTGGTGGTGATGATCGTCTCTGTATTTATTTCTTCATCCCGCAGTTCAAATGTATGAAATTCACATATTCATCATTTCATCTTCACCTTTCCCAGGTATATTACGAACCAATTTAATGACCAGCTCCCCATTGGCTTGCTAGCTTAACTGGTTAGCTAGAGCGCAGCACCGGTGTCGCAGAGGCCAGGGTTCGAATCCCTGCAAACCTGATTTTTTTTTTCAGGCTTTCTTTTCGCAACTGCATAAGTTGCGTATTTAACTGTGATGATCTTGTCTACAATTATTTGAAACAGCCCAGTTGCCAACTTATCTGCAACGACGCGTGTATTGAAACGGTAGGAAAAGACAATACCTAAATGCATACCTGTGACAGAAGAAGATGCATCTCCAACTCAGCCACACGACGTCCTGTACAACAAAGGAAAGTGAAAAGTTCTAAGACATATGGACTGGCCGAGAAGCGTACCTACTCTCCTGACGCCTCGTTTAGGGGTGTTAATTCCACATTTTGGTATCACTTTGGGCGCTCAGGAAGGAACGTCATATTATGTCCCATACGGGTTTTGCTTGGGCTGTGCGCCCCTTCATCCCCCTAACAACCCTTAGGTGTAAGTTTTCGATCTATCAACAATCTTTTGATGGAAAAAAGAGGGCAAATAGGACCTGTCCGTACTGAAGAGGTGGGTAAATATTGGGTATAAAGTAAAAGATCCTCTGAAAAAGCTGACGAACGGCGTGTCACAAAAAACCTTGTAAACAACCTAACTCGACATGTCCTGCAGTTGGGTGGTTATAGCCTTCGCATGGTGTTTGAGAACGCCATGGGTTTGAAACTCTTGAGAATCGGATTTCTGTACGTTCGACGTTCGTAGCATAAAAATCACATCCTTCTGGTATTGAGAACTTTCTTTGCAGCTTGAGTGCAACTATATTGCTGAAAACTTTCAGTTTCGTTTCGGCAACGCGGAAAATGCCCACGAACTTTACTTTTCGTTTCACAAAGAAGTATCAAGTCCGGAACACTTTCATGGGATTAACTGTAATTCAGGCATCAAGACAACGCTGGCCAGTGGTCTCCTTCACTAAATTATTCGGAGTGGTCTGAAGGCTTTTATTAGGGCTAAGCAAATTTACAGCTCTACTGCTAAGGTCAAGCCATTTCGGTTACACTGCTCTTGGTTATTTGCGCACTCTGGTCCCTCCCTCCAAGGGACTATTAGTGATTAAACTTTTCCCCTGAGAATATCAAGGAGTTTACACAACCCCGACGACGACGGCATTGACAACGTCTCATAAAATGTATTCCATATTCGCGTTCTCTCAAACTTCATCGCCATAATTCCACCCAGATTAACTTGCCAGGTGCAGGCGAATTTCCTGGACTAAAATGGTTAGAAACCGCATTCAAGACGTAATTAACAGGAAGAACAATTCATCTTCGTTCGTTTACGTCGGCAATTTCATGTCCTACCTGCGCAATAACGACAAGAAATGTATCAGAAAGTATGATGCACGTGAAGAAATGTTATTTTGCTCATAAATCCAATTGCTTTTTGACGTTCTCGTTGCCATCGTGTCCTTATTAGGGACCTTAAGATCCGAGGACGGCGACGGCAGAGAAAGCGTCGCTGAAAAAGTGAATTTTCCTTCTTTCAATCTTCATTGCGATTACTCCAAGTCATTAACTTTGTCAAATGTAGGCGAACCCTTCTACAGTTGAATTCCCAAGAACCATTTCCAAGTTCAGAAAGAGTGTGTACTCCCTATGTACAACGTGAAATTAGGCATTTTCACGTCGTAGTCGTGCAGTGACGGCAAAGAAATGTACAAAAAAGCGTGACGCACGTGCAAAATTGTTGTTTTGCTAATATCATAGGTGACGAATTACTCCTTAATTTTGGCGCGAAATTTCAGCGTTAATTTGTAATTTCACATGCCATGGCAACCTTCCGTACGTCTCAGTGTCAAGATGGCGACGAAGTTTTAAAATGTCACGAATGAAGATGTCAGGGCACAAAAAGACGCTGTAGAAAACCTGAACACACGAAAGAGCACATCAAGAAGGATTCTAACGGGTATTTTGTCGGCAAACTCTGAACTTCAGCCAAATTTAAGCGCTAAACGTTCGAGAGAGTGCAGGAGTTCTCGATCGATACGATCCAGGATAAACATGTCAAAAATCCAAGATTGCTAACGTAATTCATCACCAATGATATTAATAGGTAATCAAATGGTATACTCGTGAAATCAGGGAATAATTTCACTTGCGTTTTGTGCAAATCATAATAATTTTTAAATTATAAGGATTTGGACAAAACGCGCGTGAAATTATTCCCTAATTTCACTCGTCACCATTAATTTTGATTACACATACTAATTAAACCTATTGCTTTTGTGGCGTTCCCGTTGCCGTCGCCGTCGTCGGATCTTAAGGTCCCCATTAATTCAGGGTGACGGTGTCTGGTGCTTGCTGCTCACAGGTTGTCACGATTACCTTCTCTAATTGGCTCTCACAGAAGCTTTCAGGTAAATTTCAGTGTACAAAAATACACTTACCAAGGCACATTCTGGTACCAAATCCAAAGGGGAGAAAAGCAAACGCGTGGTAAGGGGACTTGTGTGTATCTTCCCTTAGCCATCGCTCGGGTTTGTACTCCAGCGGGTCCTCAAACAACTCTGGGTTACGACCCATAACATACAGAGGGATACGAATCATTGTCTGGGAAACGAAAGCACATGATCAATTACAATGTACAGGATGCATAGAAAGACGGTATTCTTTGAAGGTAACTAACAACAGCGGCAACGTCATTACACATACAAACAAACAAACAAACAAACAAACATAAAAAGATTAAAATAAAAAATATGAGTATGAGAGTATGATATATCTTAAAAGACAGTACCAAGTACTTTCTTTCGATGTAGACGCGCACGGCAACAGACAAGTAACGTGAGTGAATGAGTGCGTGATGTGAGTGATGCTGACGAATGACGTGTGTAACGACGCCGTGAGAGAAGCTAAAAAAGCACATTGCACGTCGCCGCGTGGCTACTCTTCTTGCAACAAAAAAAGAAACAAAGCCACCTTACAAGACACAACGAATGTTAAACAAGGAATAAAGTCAGGAAAGCTAGCGGTAATCGTCTGAAACGACGTAGATAACTTATCTACCCCTCGGGCAACTTGTGCTTAAAATTTGAGAGATATGAGTTCCAAGTGTACGATGCGCATGCGTACTGCACGTATAAATGCATACTTTACATTTAAACCTACGTATTGCAACTAAAGGAAGCACTGAGCATGAGGTTCCTCAAAGTACAGAAGACACAAATTGCATGTTAAATGCAAATTTGCATCTGAAATAAATGCGAATGCTTGTTGATTACTACTAAAACGATTACTACACGAAAACATCGTTAATTGAGCTTAAAGGGGCTGTGTCACGGCAGTCTAGTTCATTTTCTTTAATTTTGCCAATTAGTCGCCCTCAATCGCTATGGAACTTAAAGTAAGCAAAGAAATTACATGTAAATGACAAAATCAGAGATCCGAGACAAACAAATATGTCTCCTGAACATTATTTTTGAAGTTGCAATCAGCGGGGACAAACTTTGAAACACTGTTAGGCTGAACAGTTTTCAAAAACCCTAATTTCAATCCGTTTCAATCTTCTTCATTTTTGCCCATCCGTGGCATCTGTTGTTTCTTTTATGTTATTTTAAACCTCCTTTAACGTGTTAAGCGGTTATTTTTATGTTTCTCTTAATTTAACGGGTATTTTGTAATTTCCTAATTTGCCTGATTTCGTGACACAGCTCCTTTAACTGCAGAGGTCAATTTAATAAAAACTTTCAGGATGCACAGTGTTACAAGTCATGCAGCTATTGTTTTTTACCGTTAAAACAGAAACTTCTCTTGCTAATTATACGATTAGAGCTTTACTAAACTCAAGCGAACTTAGAGGACGACGGTAACACACCACACGTACACTGCAAAAGCACTCTAAGCGTGTTAGGTAGTTCTGCGGTCATCTGACTTACTTCAGGAGGAATACAATAGCCTTGAATGGCTATTTCTTCAGAGAGTATTCGAGCATTTTCAAAGGCGACTGGATACAACCTAGAGGAGAAAACCGTCAATAAATTAATAAACAAAACAAACAACAATTTCCGTGAATGATCCGTTAATTGCTACAGCCCACCATGCAGAGGGTCCACAATAGGTTTGGCGGGATGCGGAATTTGGCTATTTTTTGTGGTGATATTCGGGATAGGAGCTGAAAACAGAAGCGGGATGCGGGAATTTTAATAACCAGCGGGAGCGGGATTTCCTATTTTTATGGGGATGGGATTCGGGAATCATAAGAAAAAAATAGCGGGATACAGGAATTAAGTTTTGTCTTGACTAACGATTTATTAGCGTTGACTGAAAAAGAAAATGGTTCTTTAGTGTGTATACCACCTTTGTAGTCAAGCTATGAGTGTCAAAGGAAGTGAAGCCTGTCAAATTTTGCCCATTATCAATTTTGTGTGTTGTTCGTCTTTTCCGGTTTTACTATTTTCGTCGTTTTCGTCACTCGAAAAGAGGTATCAAATCACTGAGGTTAGAACAGGGGCACCCAGTGGATCTGTTCCACAAAATATCTGTTCTTCTGGCAATTTTTTGCTGGCTGGGAGATGTGGAAGTAATGCTATGTCCTTGGAAGGAAAGTGTTGCTGGGTAAGTGACAATTCAGGGTGTCTGAAAGAATTTGATGTCTGGAATAGCTGCTAAGTGCTATGTCAGAAACCTCTTCCCCATCCCCCCCCACTGAACACCCAATTTCCTATTGCCACCCACCCTTCCCCGCTCCCTGAAGGGCTGAATTTTGCCCTCTGACCACACCCAAACTGACCATTAATGTCTGGACATACGTTTGCTGGGAAACTTCCAAGTAAGTCAGGTTGCAGGTTGTAGGTACACCTTGCTGGCTGGGAACTCTTCCTTCAGTGGGAGTGAGGAACAGATACATTTTTTCCCAGCAATCTCCCAAAATGCTTAAAATGGCTTCAGAAAGCTTTATTCATGCTTTGTTGTTATTTTTATGTCTTTTTCTCAAAATTTCCCGTTGGGTGCCCCTGTTAGAAGTCACGTTAAGCGTTCGTTAAGATCCTGTACTCATTCCTGTTTTGTCGACGGATTTGACCTTTTCTGCTTTTGCCTGGACGGACCTGTCGGACCTCGAACAGAGCGTTTGTTATTAAAATAAGTGTGGCCACAGTATGACCACACCAGAGCTGATACAAGTGGACAATGTGGTAGACATTATCAATTGTGTGGCTTTGTACTACGAAAAAGGTGCTAGTGGGAATGCGTTTCTTCGGAAAGAAAAAATTAGAGCTCCCGTCTCAAGGCAAGTGAAGACCTTGAAAGTCTTAAAAGAAACAGTCAGGTGAGTCGACCAGAGTTTACTGCTATCTGCAGTTCGTCAAAGAACCGTGCGACAAGAAACGACCATGGCTAGGGCTGGAACGCTCCCCGATTTCTTGTACGAGAAAGACATTGTGCCAGGGGAAAGCGTTGACCTAACAGGAGATGTCGGCCTTCCTGACGAATATGTTACAAGCAGCAGTGCGGAAGAAGAAGAAACCGAAGACCAAGTAGGAGAAGGATCTGTAAGGGTCGCCACTTTGGATGGTGAAGCAAACTTCCTGCTTGGAAGGGTTTCCGCATTTGGTCGTGCTGTTAGATTTAATAGCAGGTTTATGTTTCCTTAAAAGAGACCAGTGTGTTTATATTCATTTTCCATGTCCTACACTCTATGTAAACAATTGACAGACTTGGCTTCATCGCCTGATAGAAACTAGAGCAAAGCAGTCGAATCTTCGTAAGACAGACAGATAACATCAATCTACCTAACTCAAAAAAATACAGGACTTAAAGTATCGAAGTAAACAGGTACCGATGAGAGGACGAAAAAATAAGCAAAACAGAAAATAAAGTTATGGTCTCTAATTGTGATGTTGAGAACCTTGACCATCAAAACTGACAATTGTTAGAAGGTAAGTCTTATATAACGCCTATTTCAATGATCAAGCAAAAAATGTCAAAAATCTCGTAAACAAAATGGGACGGGATCGAGATTCGGGCGTAAAATGGGGCGGGATGGCGGGATTGAGAAGAAAGAAATGGCGGGAAAGCGGGATTTGAGAACCCCTCTTGTGGACCCTCCATGCATCGGGGAGATCTAGCGTCACCTTGTCAGGAGTCAATAAACTGACTCCTGTCCTTTGTAAAGAAATAACATTTGAAAAAGATCAGCCAGATTCGTGTCAGATTATACATACCTTAGAGTCTCCTTGATACATCCCCTTAGAAAATGCATTTTCTGTAAGGTGGAGGCTGTCGCACGCTCTCCAGGTTTGAGAACTGAAGTGACTTCCTCATGAAGTCGTTCTTGCACGTTAGGGTTTCTTGCTAGCGAGTATAATGTCCACTGTATCGTGTTTGAGGTCTGCAAAAAATAATACATGTAACAATAAAATGAAAATAAAAAATCAGGCATCTGACCCTCGTGCAAGTGACATGAATTCTTGCTTAACAGTTGAAGAATACAGCTCGGCCGGTTACACGATCAAGGTTTCCTTTACAACGAAAAGCTTGTTACGCAAAACCTTGCCGTTTAAATCATCATTATCATTATTGTTTTAAATTAACGAAACATTTTTCTAGCGTACTCTTTGCCTAACTATGTGATTGTGCGATTAACTTGTAAACGAAAAAGGGAACGAATTGTCACTAATAATTGTCACTAATAATCTCGCGAAGCTTGAAAAAGAAGAGGACAATTTTTCGGGTATTCAATGCTGCAGGACACGGTCTTTTATTTGCAGTTGTATATACGTATGGCCAGGACGCCGGAAATGATATAAAGTTTCCCGCACGCGACGTTCATTTGGCCACCATGGAAGTTGTCATCTTTCTTTTCTTTCTTTTGCTTTTTTTTTTTTTTATCACCAGCATCACCGCCACCAGCACCACCACCATCGCCGTCGTCGTCGTCGTCGACGTCATCATCGTCATCGTAATCGTCAAAGTCCTCATCCTCGTCATGATCATCATCATCATCACTCATCATCATCATCATCATCATCTTCCCCTAACCTTTGTCATTGGTGTCAATGCTATTGCCATTATTGTGACTATTACTTATAAAGTTATTTATTAAAACTTACTATAATTATTACGTATATAACTATTTTTGTTACAATTATCTTACCGTTTCAACAGCAGCCATCAATATTTCAACCAAATTCGCTGTTATTTCTTTAGAATTGATATCATCTCTACTGATCAAGAAGGTTAAGAACTCTGCAGCATCTTCATCTCTTATGTTCCCCATTTCTAACTTTTCTCGTATCTCCTCCAACCTTCTCTCAATGCATCTATCAGCAAAGTTGTACATGGCATCCATACAATCATAGAACTCCGTAAACAATGTTGGCCTGTAAAACTTATCAATCCAGACTGGAATAGGAAACGCTTTTAGAAATACTTCAAATAATTTCTCTACGGCTTCAATAAACTTGGCTGCTTCAGCAGAAGGTGACTTGCTAAATGAACCAAACCTTGTTTCAAACAGAACTGTTCCCACCGCTGCATAAGAAAATTAAAAATAGAATTAGCTCTTTGGATACCAGACTTCGAAGCAGTAATCCACGGTTTGATTTAAGGCCGACCAACAAGTAGGGTCTTGAGGTGAATGTACTGCGTTTGTTAGCTGGTATCTGTAAAATTAATAGTTAAAATCTCTAAAAGGGACGAAAAACCACAGGGGCACCTAAGGACGATTTCCTCCTGAATACGTTGAAAACACTTTTCAGGCTATCCAGAGTAGTTCTAGATCTCTAGAAATACATTGTAAGCGGCGCTATAAAATTTGTATCTGTTAGGTCATATTTGAGTCTTTTCGAAATTTCAAGGGTTTACATGCAAATTATAGCTTTCCAAACGTGACAATTTTTCTGATTCCTACCTCTATTACATTTTTGAATCCGAAAATTTTAGGTTTCCACGATAAACAGCATTACTTGGGGGGGGGGGGGGGGGGTGGAGGAGGGGGGGGAAAATGTGAAAAATTAAGCTCCAGGTCCAGAAAACAGTAGGGAATTTATTAGACAAATTTCGAAAATTGTACATGAATAGAACAGTCATCTAGAAACTTGTAGCCGTCACAAGCAATAACAATTTCTAGGCAATATTAGCTTCTTCGAACAGATATTTCTACAGAAAACAGTCGTTGGGTGCCCATGCTTAGAGCATTTTACTGATCTGACCAAATCTTTTGGATATTTATTACCCTTTGAGTCTCAAGAGTATAACCAACATATTATTTCTCCTAACAATATCATTTTTTTACACAAGAGAAAAGGTTGTGAGAAATAAATAAAATTGTCACCAAAAGAAAAGAGCTTTAAATTTTTTTTGTCAATGATATATTTCTCTAAACTAATCCTGTTTACGTAAGAGTATAGCCGGGAGTTCAGTCTGGAGAATTTGTATGTGGATATAACTGGGGCTTAAAGGGTTAAAAGAGCCCAGACAAGGGGGCAATACACTGAGGACAAACTCAGAAGCAAAATGTTGATACATTAATTCTAATACAAAACATTAATCAGTAGTTGATTATAAAAAAAACAACAACAACACCTCATTTAACAGTACGGTTTAGGTAGATTAAATTTCAATGTTCCCTAACGTTAAAGAAAATCATGTTGCTTTGGAAGAAATTATGGAGTAAAATTTGCACAGTTTCGAACTCCCCACTCAACCATCTACTTAAAATGCATGATCTCTTCAAAAGAAAATGGTTTGCTAGACTCACATTCCAGTGACCACTTAAAGAGTTCATCCTGAATGTTGGGAATCAGTCCTTCATCATCACGAGTTTGCTTCAATCGTGACAAGAGATCAGAAGAGACTTCATTCAGGCCTTGTGCATATTCGCCAATAACTTTGGGCTTTAACATTTTCATGTTCAAGATACGGCGAACTTTGTACCATTCTTCACCACGCCTATAATTACAACAAGTCATATGAAGATTAGACGTCAATCTGACCAGCAAGAACGAAAAGTAAAATTTGGAAGAGTACTTGGAAGAAATGCGCCTTAATGAGTCCTTATATACTGCTAAATTCTCCTTGCAAAATGCTTTAATAAGGTTACTTGTAAAACAAAAGGAGGATTTGACATTACATTAGGGGAGCGCCTTCCACACACCCCTTCATTCAAAGACTGTGGTACTGTGTGAATAGCAGTGATTCAGGCATGCCACATGTAAGCCTGCCCACTGATAATCAGTATTAGTATTTCACTGAACAGCAGCAGGTGGGGTGTGCAGCTGTGTTCTTAAATAACCTGAAGGTGTCAGACAAGCTCCATTAATGCTTGTTAATATGAAACCTCTTCTACTGAAGTCAGATCTCTGGGTCAAGTCACATTTAATCCCTTGGGTTGGAAATAGGGTTACTCCTTGGTAAGAGCTATAGAAGGTATGAGCAGCTTAGGTTTCAATTTTTTACCAAGGGTGGGTCTGACTATGGGTGAAGTACACTGTATTTTGTTCTTTAGAACAACAAAAATCAAATATCTGCAATTGGATAAGAGTTTCAGAAAGCACTGTAGAACACACTCCCCCCCCCCAAATTTTACACAAGTACATGATATGCCCCCCTCTCCAACACACACACACACACACACACACACACACACATCCCCCAATAGATTATCAGAATCTTTCCATAGCCATAGGTGATGGAAAAAGAGTAGAGGCTTCATTTTATGAATAAGTTATATTGCTAATTTTGGCAAGTGCATAAAGTCTGCCTTTCGAGCAGTTACTGTTTATCAGGATTGCATTAACTTAAAATGAGGCCACTTGGGGGTGTGAATGGGTTATATGTTAATTATACTAAATCTGTGTGATGCACCTCGTGGAAGACTTCATATAATGTCCTAAGCCATTCATAATTTGGAAGCTGGGTTAATTTCCGGGAGGGGGAGGGTATAAGTGCAATTAACAGACAGAGTCAGTGCTCGACCTTAGCGGTAGTCCTGTAGTCCTGGACTAGTGCAAAATGCTTCTGGACTAGTAGAAACTTAGAACCACTAGTCAGAGGACCAGTAACTACTTTGTAGTTTGTAATGTTTAAAAAATACTACAAGGTGAAAACAAAATATACGTCTTGTAAACGCTGTTTCGATGCATTCCTCGCAATGTTCCGATCGCGAAAAATGATAGTCCAATGCGACGACTGAGGCGAGAAGACTAAATAAGGCTGAGGTTGGGACTGGGCACTAAAGAACTCCCAGCCCACCATCTTTGCTCGACTGCCCATGTTATTATCATGAAGAGATTAGAGATGTATTTTTCTAGTTCTAACAGCAGCGATTATCCAAACAAACGCCAGAAAGAAGGTAGTGGTGACACAGAAAAGACATTGGAAACAAAAGAGAGCAACAGCAATAAAACGACCAAGAAATCTTCATATGATCAAGAGGATGGAACCATTAAAGTCAGGCATTTCATCTTTGAAATGTAATTGTAAAAAGATTTTGCAAATAATATTGTCATGCTGCAATCAGGAAGGACTACCACAGATTTACTCAGGACTAGTAAATTTTCAGTTCAACTAGTCCAAGGACCAGCGATTTAAAAAGTTAAGGTCAAGCACTGCAGAGTCTCCAGATTTTAGATTTCCAGATGTTGGCACCTCTGTCTTCCCTCAGGGTCCAGATAGTGTAGAAGTTTCTCTTAGCTTTCCCAGGATTTTTCCTGGATTTTACTCAAGAGCAAAACAGCCTGAAAAACCAGGAATTTTATCCCAGAATTGGGGTCCTTTATGCCGGTAACAAAAACAAACAACAAAAAAGACCTATAGCTGAAAAATTATAAAGCCTGTGAACTGTTTAAGTACCCAAAACGTTTGTTCTGAATTACATCAACCATTGCTAAATTCTAATTTTTGGCATGGTCACAAGGGGCCCTTTCCATTCAACAAAAACTCCAGTTTGAAATTTCAGAAATTCCATGTCCCGAATGGAACAGTACATTCTGGTTGCACAGACCAGACCCAAGCCACCACGCATTTGGTTATTGTTCTTGTAAGCAGGATGCCAAAGAGCGGTACTGGGGACAACCAGAGGAAATTGTCAAATGGAAAGGGACATTTGGTCTGACTAATCAAAATTAGTGGATTGGCCATAGTGTGGTAATTCCAGTTGGACTGAACCAAAATGGTGCGTTCGATTTGATTTCTAACCGAAATTTCCAGAATTTTGGGCTGAATGGAAAGCAACCAAGGTCATAGCAATGCCCTCAAACCCGCTCTAACACCCAACCCCCCCGCTGCCCTCTTCAATGATTCGCAGCGCGTATGAACTCTGTCCTGTCCTCGATCAGTAACTAAACGTGCCCTTCAGCATGGCTTATCACCAACAATAATTTTTTAATACCTGCATTTACACTTGTCTTTATATATTAGTAAATAAAATAGACTTACAAGCTGAACACTCCGTGAGCCTGTTTTCGCTCTTCCTTGTACTTCATCCAAAGCGGGAAGATTGGTTCACGAGTGGGATACTTTCCTTCGTTTCGAAACAAGAACTGCACATCATCGGGATTAGAGATGGCCACTGTCTCAAAGTTTACGATTTTCTCTCGATAAATCGATCCAAACTGTTGAATCCGTTGCTGCTGCATAACGTGCATTCGTTTATAACCCCGTATTCCTTCTCCTTGATCGCGAACATAATCAAGGAGTGTTCCAATAATGGGCAAACCCTTTGGTCCTGGGATTTCTTTGAACGGTTTTGCTGCGATGCCTTCCACGGCTTGAGTTTGAGCCGAACGAAACTTGAAGTATTTGCTGGCTTTTAGACTCGGTTTGTTTTTATAAAAATTTTGAAGTGATAAAGGTGGACGTGTTGCAAATTTGAAAGCCATTCGACTCTGCTAGCTGGGACATCTGCGGCTGAATCGAATATAATACAAACAAAAATCACAGTTGTCACGCAATCGCCCACCCAAAACCGAGAATCCCCTGGGGACGAGATTATTATATTTCAGTATTCCCACGTGAGTACATGGTATTACCTGCATTATTTGACTTATTTATGTTTAAAATTTAAATAAAAAAGGCGAAAAATTAAAGAACAAGTTTTTGTCTATATTCCATACATAAATGTTTGTAAGCAGCTGTCAGTCTGTAGATATGACGATCGACATTGTTAAACATGAGGTTCGCTTCCATGTTGTCACTTCCACGTTGCCGCTTCCACGTTGTCGCTTCCACGTTTTCGCTTCCACGTTGCCGCTTCCACGTTGTCGCTTCCGAGTGGTCGCTTCCACGTTATCGCTTCCAAGTTGTCGCAAGAGAGAGAGAGAGAGACATGGCAGCCATGTTCACAAAGCTAGCGTGCTTGCACGCGCTTTTTTCTCATACTAAGTCCGTGACACGCTCTCTGGTTCAGCCATGATGCAGAGTACTGGACGCTACTGGAACTAGTTCGCTTTCCGCTCTCGATCCGTTGTCAGGGCAAGAAAGAAGGCGCCGTCTAGCTGGAGGTAGGTTCGGATTTATTGCTTATATCTTAAGATCGCTGCAATCTATAATTAGATTTGGGACAGAGCGTCATACTCATGGAATATGGTCAACCTCTTATCGCTTGGTTTTCACGTGACTGACCGAGCGTACGTACGTAAGTACGCGTCTACAGATTGTACGGGTAGGGTAGGGGAGACTATCAAGAGGAAGGGAGGGGTGTCTCAGGCGTGTCTTGGCAAGTCCTCATCTTTCATATATGACATTCACAATATGGTCAATTGACAGCTGTCAAAACAGGATAGCCACTGACCACTATCCCATGACCATATCGCGGGCTCATGTGTCAACTCATCGAGGTGACGTGATTTATTTGGAATCTGTCCGCTGACCAGTTAATCGTTTTACTAGATCGCGAAAAATGATCGCCAACAATGTTCAATCTTATACTTTTTAGATTTAGTTTGGGAGCACAGGAAAACTGATACACATATTGGACATCAATGTTGTGATCAATTGACAGCTGTCAAAACAAGGTATCCGCTGACCAGTATCACTTGAACGAATCGCGGGCTCAGGTGCCGACCCATCGAGGTCAAGTATTTTTTGAAGTTATCCGCTGACAAGGTACTGGTTTTCAAATGATCGCAGGCTCAAGTTTACTTTTTCTAAAAAAAATTCATATGAAATATGATGTGTTTATGTGCCGCACAATTAAAATTTTGATTTCAAACTGACCTCGGACGCGAGGCAGGGAAGACAGTTGCTTTTGACTTTTCTCACCACGTTCACGCGTTGGTCACGTTCTACCTCCAATTTTTGTGCTCTGATTGGTCAAAATTTGACAGGTGAGTTCATGCGGATGTTACTAAAACGGGGAACGGGGAGCGGGGAGCGGGGAACGGGGAACGGAAGTCTGGGAACGAGTTGTCAGCGGAAACCTCCATAAAAATCCAATATGGCCGATGATCGATGATAGAGAAGCGTCGAAACAACACTTAAGGTCGCTATTTTACTAATGAACTATATGCTCATGAGGTGCTTGAAATAATACGGAGATAATAATGTCATGACATTTTTCACCTTTTTGCGTTTTACTAAACAACAAAATATGCTCCAACAGCAGTTGAAAGAAGCTACAGTCGGGACAAAAACTCTCAAAGCACAGCCATATTTGGAACTCAAGCGAATCTATACTGGGTCTAGCTCACAAAGCAATGAACTACTTTTGCTTGACGCTTTTCGTAGGGTTTTGGCTTAAATACATGCTGAAAGATAACGTAGATCGAAGCAGCCAGGCGTATTTCCTCGACAGTAATAGTGTAGCAGTGGAGCTCCTTCCTAGCTGTAGCGTTTTTTCAAGCCCAAATTAAAACATGTTGGCGATGAGATATAACTGTTAGTCTAATAATATTATATTTACAAACCTATGATGAGAAGTAAGTGCAATTGTATTATTTGAAAAGATAAGATGGATCAGGTTATTTAATACATCAATAAAAGGCAACTTTAAACATATTAACGGGCAATGTGCCAGGAACATCAATCATACCTTGGTCTTAAAGATGTCAGTTGTTTCAAAGCAAATGGCTCTACTGTGGTTTTATTTTATTATATCCTAGGTGTAAATTTTGCTTCCCTTTGTTTGGGGGTATGGTAATATGAATTTTATGATTATGAGTTCAAAACAAAGAGAATAAAATTCAAACTTAGGATAAAAGTGAACCACAACTGAGCTGCAATATTAAGTGTTGCAAGTATACGTGGGGGAAGTACTTTAAAGTCTTTGGTTGGAAGGTACTTTCTAAAGGCTAGCTGTAAAAATATGCATGGTAAGTATACTTCCTCTGTTTAGCCCTCTGGATGCTTTTTTTTTTCTAGGGGGACTCCTTTAATGTTTTTGCAGAGGGGAGCTCTGCTTCTCTTTAATGAACATTATTTTCACTGTGAAGAAAAATATTTCAAGCTCAGTGTAAAACTCAATGTATCAGTGACTTAAACCAGTTAATATTGTCAAGCTGCTTTATTAGCTTGATTCAGTAATATTGTAGTGCACCTACCATCAAGCATCACATCATCAATGTTGCAGAGGTTGGCAGCTTATTAGAAGGTGGTTGATAAGCCTTCAAGCAAGCTGTCTGTAGTTTTGGAAATAAAGAGTCTAAGGTCTCACATAAGTGATGGGAGGCAAAAGATTGGAGTGCCGATATGTTTTTCAGTAAATACGCGCAACTGTATGTGTATAGTGGCCACATTACGCTTACTCAGTGCATGTAAAATAACACAATAGATCTTGCTACCCATTTTCCCTGATTTTATTTCCCCTCCAGGGGACATAATTTCTTGTAACATATCGGGGTTTTCAAAAAAGGGGCAAGAAGCTTTTAAATGAATTTTAATTCATTTAATGAAGCACAGTATCAAAGAAATTAAAGAGAAGAATCAGACTAGAGTAACAGTAACCCAGAGGGGAGGGGGGGGGGGTACTCACCAAAGAGGCTTTGCCCCAGGGACCAACCCTTTACCCTTTGTATGTACCATTTTAGACAGAAAAGGTACCCCTTTTGTATACCCTCTAGTGACAAATGGTACCCCTTTCACATACCTATTTTTTGAACTTAAATACACCATCTTTACAATATGAATAAATAGCTAAAACAGGTTTTCTTGTCTCTCACATCCATAAAATGCATCTGTGACTGATCTCATGTTGGTCCCTTTCATATACTTCAACTATAAAAACCCCTTCCCTTTCATGTACCTGAAGCCTGAAAAAGGCTTTAGGCTCTGTTTAGGCCATTATAGTACCCCCTCCTCCTGCACCGAGAACAGTACTTGATACAGTGATATTGTATGGTATGAATTGCACCAAACGTTTCGTGTCCATGAAGAGGTACTTTGATTATTTTACGACGTTTTTCTTCAAAAGAGAGGGGTTTGGGATCTCATTCTTACGGGGGCGGGGGGTTAATTGAGGATCTGCAGTGAGTGAGAATGTTGCATTCAATGCAATCCAATGGTTTTGATTCAGGAAAGGGTCGTCAGGGGTATTTCGCAGAAAGACAAATGGCCACTGTACGACTTTGAGGCAGTTACTGATTAGGGTGAGGAAAATGAGTGAATTAGGTTCCATTAGGGTCATTATACTGGTCTATACTGGGCAAACAGACCTGAAACAAATTGTTTTACAAAATAATAAAATGATATTATTTTATTTTCATGGATCAGAGAAACACTTCAATATCGTGAATGCTTGCAGTGTAGTGGATCTAATAATATTAAAAGCAGAACCAGATTGTTAAAGTAGTCTCACTAATTATGTGATGACGTGGTCAATAACATTTTTCAAAGCAGTCATCTCTATCGAAGGAAATAGAAGAAGTCTGCACACAAGCTACTTGACTACTTCGATGTATGTTATCTATCATGGAAAAGTAGTTCATTGCTTTGTGGGCTAGACTCAGTATAGATTCGCTTGAGTTCCAAATATGGCTGAACATGTGCTTTGAGACTTTTTGTCCCGATTGGCTTCTTTCAACTGCTGTTGGAGCATATTTTGTTTCCTACGGATAATTGTTTAGTAAAACGCAAAAAGGTGAAAAACGTCATGAACTTATTACCTCCGTATTATTTCAAGCACCTCATGAGCAAATAGTTCAAGTAAAATAACGCCGTTGTCGGTTAAGTTTGTTTCGACGGTTCTCTATCATCGATCATCGACCATATTGACTTTTTTTTATGGAGGTTTCCGCTGACAACTCGTTCCCAGACTTCCGTTCCCCGTTCCCCGCTCCCCGCTCCCCGTTCCCCGTTTTAGTAACATCCAGTTCATGCGGAAAATTTAGGCAGCATCTTGAATCTTGTTTACTTTGACAGCTGAAGCTGACAGAGTTTTGTGTCAACTTGTGATGTTTTCAACTGTCTTTTTCCACTGGATGTACAAAATGAAATTCAGCTGCTATCGGAAATCTTCTGTTATTCATGGCTAGTTTGTTTATTGGGTTTTTGGTTGAGAAATACGTCATTTGTCAAAGTTGGAAATCCGATTTCGGATGGCATCGTTTTCGTTTTCACCTTGCTTAATGCGTAAGAGGGTTTCAAAGTCTGAAGCGATACTGGCCTTACTTGATACCTTTGAGGAGCTGCATCTCGAGTGGTAAGCCTGAGTAATTATTGTATTTGATGTTTGTTTTTTATTTCTAACTTAATGAAGTCGAGCGTAGTTTATGCGGCTATTTTGTTTACGCACGTTTGTAAGATTTGAGACAATGATCTCACCGAGTATCAGGTTTATATAAGCTTACAGATCTTTAAAAAGCCTTTAGACATTTTCTCACCGCAAATAGAAAGAACACGTTCCAAAGAATTTTTAGTTATAATTCTGGCTGTAAAAGAAGCTTTGAGTGATTTTCTTGCCTCGAGTTCGTCTTTGAAAAAAGAAAACACCGGGAAGCTGGCTTAAG